TTTGTTTAGAAAGTTGTCCTTAATAGTATTCACCCTTCTGTTTCTTTTATGACAGTTAGGAGATGCCTTTTGTTTCAGGTTMTATGTCACATTTATAACAGCAGTTAATTAACCCCCTGTATGTATGGTKACAACTTGGAACACAGTATGGAGAATTTATTCCCTGCCTGTAGCAATAGTGATCTTAACCCACTTGCATCCCCACTGCAAACCACCAGAAATAATGAAATGGTAGAAAAAACTGCAGCCATTTATATTTTCTGCAGAACAACTAGGGCTGTGGGATGAGGCTCTGTGGCCCATGGAAGAGCTGGTGTRCTGGAGAGGGCCTTTATTAACTAAGAGTTTGTGGACTGCGGTCCTTCTCGTTAAACTCTCTTACTGCAGTTTAAAATAAAGATGAATGTGTAGCATGGATGTCCCATGTGATTTTCCTGAATGCAGCTTTTTTTTGGGTGTTAGTTTGATTGTTCAGGACCAGCTTCTTTACTGGTGTGCTTCATTTCAGTGTAGGAGAGCTCTGTTAAATAGCCGAGATTAATCTTTTCATATGTATTGTACAACTTTTGGAATTTATTATCATCTTTACAGGGAAAASGTAGCATGCATAGTAAAAAWTAYTTTTAYTTTYTAAACTGGACCTCAGTTTGGTTGTCTGAGCACTTCTTAAAGTGTACCTAGTATGGTACCATTCTGTGTTTTACCCGAATAAGTTAGAGTGACATCTGTTTTGGGCAGCAAAAAACTTTTCTGGAGAGTGTGCTTGGGATCTTGCAGATTTCTATGGATAGGATTTTTGCTCTAGTGTTTGTAGGGGTAACATCGGTGATGTAGTGTTTTTTTCTTCAAAATGTGGTGTTGCATCATGTGCAATTCTATATCAGAGTGAAAAATACAGGTACCTGTTGGATCTGAAGCTGTGTTGGTAACTCTTCCCTTGAAGTAATGTACAGAATTTGGCTAAAGATGAAACTTCACAAGTGATGCCTCCCACCAGTAAGATCCCCAGATTGTGGGAGCACTGGATCAGWTGTGTGTGGCTATTGTCCATATCATTGACCATGGGGGTGTAGCACAACCTCAGCTGTGTTTCACAGGCTCTTTCAAGCAACAGCATTTACCTGGTGACTTGCTTACATTGCCTTTTCATTTGAAAYCACTATGATGGGATGTACCAGTAGCTCTGTTTTCTGTATTTTAAAGAAGAGTTTGATTTTTTTTTTACCACTTTTGGAGTTCATTTTCACTTGGCAATCTKAATTTCCGTGGCTAGTTTAGTTTTGTGACTTCCAGATGGTGCTGTACTTTATTGTACTAGTGGCAGTTGGAGGTTGTTAAACTGTCATTATTGCAAGCTGATCAGGATCATATATAAATCCTTTATAAATGAAATGTGTTAACTTTGTAGAAAGTAGTTTGCTTTAGCTGCTAGCTTTGCTTTGGAAATATCTACTGTCTTCTGTAAACCAGAAGGTTCAAGTAGTAGACATCAACATTAGTTATAAAGGGTGGCTGTGAGGGGGAAAATAGGAAAACAATTCATTTTAGAATTTCTGAAACTGTTGGAAAAATTTGAATGTTGCAACAAATGTAAATAATATTTTGTTATAAATGCTGTTGCAAGTCTAAAAACTAAGTTTGTGTATATGAATGGATACAAATAAGTATGCTCTCTGAAAACTGAGTGAAACAACATGAAATGTGATTTTGAAATGTTCATTCCAGTCTGCAAGCTGAGTGCAACTGGTGTGTTCTTGAATGCATGCTCAGGGAAAAGGAAGGCTGYTAATAAAAATAATAAAACACCAAGTTCTTTCAGTTTAATTGCACCAAGCTGTATGCTTAGCCTGAGATCAGAGCCTTCATGCACTGTTTGAGCTTAGTAACCACTAGAAGATTTTTCTTCCATCATGTATSTGTTGCACAGCACCGGTAAGTGGTGAAGTGTTACTGCTCCAACAGTGTCAGCACTGTGTGATGCTGCAGTGCTTGTCCCTTACAGTGAGCGGCCACATCTGGGCAGCTCGGAGTAATGAAGTGCCAAGATGATGTTGCAGTGTTATGTGGAAGTACAAAACAGAAAAAGCATCACAGGCTCCTGCTYAAAGAGGAACAGGGTGGGGGATGGCTCTAAATCCAAGCACTGATTGCTGGCATTTTGAAAACTTTTGGGATTGTCRCTTCTCCTCGAGGAAAGAAACTGGGACTTCATGGAGAGACATGGAGATCAAAGTCAGCTGATATATTTCACATAAACTATTAATTTTTTACAGAAAGATGCAATCACTACAGTTTACTATGAGAAATGAAAACAAATTCCAGAAATCTTACTTTATGGAGGAAAAGAAAAAAATTGAGGCAATATTATCATAATAAAATCCTGTTAAAAGCTAGTTTTTCTAATTGGTGAGGAACTTCATTATTTTTTCTTCCCATTCAGTTTTTTTTAATATGTGTATTTGGGGATGAAAATACGTTTAATTTTTGATCTTCCTAAGCTTTTCAAATGCAGGCAAATTTCCAGAGGTTTGTGCTGCTCAGTAACTGCATGAGCAGGGTAACTGGGCAAAATTGCTTACCTGGGGACTGAGCAGATCTTCAGGTTTGGCTGAAACAGATGCTGTGTCTTAACAGACCAACTATTTCTTGCTCTTGCTACTGGGAAGTCTATAACCAGGATTTTCTTCTGCTGTTACTCAAGGAATGTACTGATACTGGTGAACACTGTACAGTGCATTTGGGTAGCCATGAAGTGAAAAGAAGGTTGTAGGCAGTAATATATAAATAATTGCTGGCTGAGATTTGAACTGGTATTTTCAGGTTAAAAAAGTTTTTTAATCTCCATCTGTTGAGGAGCTGTCCTTCTTCATAAGGATTCTGCCTATAGCTCTTAAACCTGCTTTCTTGTTATCCCGAGTCCTGAGGGAGTGCAGCCAGTTCGGACAGTTCCTGCTCAGCCACTGCAAACAGCCAGCCTGGTTGTGCTCTTTTGTGTCTTGGTGGTTATGTGCRTCAGTGGGTGCCCTGTGATCTCCTGATGGAGCAAGAGGATAGTGGGAAAAGGATCCCTTGTAGCTTGTAACATCCCCTGTGGTTCAGCATAACATCTGGACTGTAATTCAAGGGAAATCCTAKGTCATTATTAAATTTAAAACAGTTGCATGAGACAGCTTTTTGGCTGTTAGGGTACTGGAAGTCAAACCTTTGAAAGAGTGGAGTATTTGCATAATTTCATTGCTACTGATCTGGAGAAGAGATTCAGGTTGCACATATAAAGTGACTGGGTTTGAGGACTTGGGTCCCTTCACCTCCTGGCTTCATTCTGTGGTTTAACAGTTGTGATCTCAAACTCTTCCTTTTTGGTGTCTTAGTAGCATGGAATAAGTATGTATAGGCTTGTTCTGCATGCAGCYTGAGATCTGCAGCAATGGTTTCCTSCCCGAAAGGGACCGCTGCTCACTGGGGTTGCTAAAGCATATTAAGCGAGTTGTTCCTTTGAGGTGAGCTTTACTCGTGATCCCTTGAGCTCTTGTGGGGAGAAAAGGTGCCTCTTGTTAGTACAGAAATCTGTATTGCTGTAAAGAAAAATAGAGGCAAAATGTTGGCACAGGAGCCTAGACTGGATATYCTAATCTTGTTGTCAAATAGTGGGTCTCAAACAAAYTTCTGYTGTTGGCTGCAAARCCACAAATGCACAGATSTGAGTCTGTGTGAGATGAAAGSTGGTCTGGTGGAATGGTRTGTGTAGGTAAAGAAAAAAMC